GAACTATCCATGTACATATTGACTCCTAATTAATGCTCATTTTGGTCTGTGGGAGCCAGTCAGAGAAGAGAACCCATACACGTATAAAGAGAATATGCAAAGACCTTGCAGAAAGTCCCCAGGGGTGGGCGAAGGAGCTTTATGCTGCAAGGCAACAGTCCTATTGAATGCACCGACATGAAGGTCAACGCATAGTTTGTTACAAAATACCTATCCTTTATTTTTATCCCTTTATTAATTCTGACATATTCAAAACATCAAAATATAACAAACTAACTACTATATATCAATGCACAAGCATGCGTTAATACTCATGATTATCAGGAGTATATCAGGAATGTGGTTGGGGAGGATATTAAAAGATAACTATTGCACATCTGTCTGCAGATGTACAATTATACAACTCTACATCTCTTAAAAGCAGAAGAAGAGACTCCCCCACAACCAAGAGGTTTTTGGATAGTAGTCAGCAATAACACAATTGTCTTTTCCAGCAGCCATTGTACGATATTAAAACCAGATGACCGATGGGCTGGTACCAGGTGATGGGCTGGTACCAGGTGATGGGCTGATACCAGGTGATGGGCTGGTACCAGGTGATGGGCTGGTACCAGGTGATGGGCTGATACCAGGTGATGGGCTGGTATGTTGCTGGAGTTGCTAGGTAACAACATACTGCCCATCAAATGTGACTTAATCAGTAGGTTTTTGAAAGAAAATGTTCAAACACCAAAAAACATCAACGTATTGCCTAAAAATCTCTGCATGTTTATTTTAAGTGCTTCGACTGTTTTTAGAAGCAGTTGAGACGTAAATGGAAGTAGAAAAACAAAAATGTGAATATCGCATAATATGTCCCCTTAAATTCCTTTCATTTCAGAAATTTCTCTTATTCTCATTCCTCTTTGGTTGGAGAGTCAGTATTTTTCCATTTCTATGTAGTTGCTTTTTTACTGGCTGAACACGTTGTTCTGGTCAAATATTTTTCTTCCTAGTTCATAATAGATTTAGTTCTTCCCAGATATATACAGACAAAACCGTATTAAATTTCATAACCAGTAATTAAGTAAATAATTCCAACCAACTCCTGCCAGTCAGGCTGAGAACATGACCGTCTCAAAATACATTTCCATGCTATTGTTTCATTTGAAGAGTGATAAAGAACCAACTAATGTTTTTAAATGTAAATTCCCTCCATTTCCATAAGTTTGAGGTGTTCATCAGAATCCTGAATATGCTAAACCATTTATCTTTTGTAAGAAAGATATTTTCTGCTTCTTTTCATTTTTATTTAAAGTAGAGTAGAAATGCCATTAGATTCTTTCAAGGAAGAATATAATATCACAATCAATCTTCTGTTAATTTTAGATTTATAGGAATCAACCATAATATTAACCAAATATGTATTACAGTCTCCTGGGTTTGATTAATGTCCTTACATGAAAAAAGCTTGTATTTCCAAGAGATTTTCTTCTACTTTTTTAAGTAATTTTCTAGTGCCTGAAAACTGAAAGGCCTCTTGTTAATTTATTTATTTTTCTTCCGTCAACCGTGCCGCTGCGAGCCCACCCACAAAAGTGGTATCAAATCGTGCGGCTCGGCGCCGGGAGGGGTGCTATTACTTTTGGTGGGATTCGGAGTTACGATAAAAAAGTAAAAAGCGAAAAACCATCAAAAATTCTTGTCAGTTAGAAACTGTTCAAACTAGAGTGTAATCAACGATTCGTTAGAGTGTGGGAAGCAGTGCCATTCTGACCCCAAATAAATTTTGAAATCGCCGTCACGCCCACAAATATCGCCCTATCGGTATGAAACTCGGTCATGAAATAGATACGCATGCCTGCTCCGGTAAAAGGTTTTCGAAATTTTTCTAGGGCTTACGGCTTTCTGTCTAGGGGCTTCAAAGCGAAGTGATGCGACAGGATTTTCACTCGCTCAGCCAGGATCACTTCCATGTATTTCTGAAAAATGTCAGACCTCAGCGCACACCATTTTTATCTCATCGCTGTTATTAATGTGAGTGATGTACAGATATGAATCGCGGGACTATAGGAGACGAAAGATAGCCCTCTCATACGCTTCAAACGGTTTTCCGATATGTATCACGGTTTCCGAATGGGAAGCAGTTGTTTGGGCTGCTTTTTTCAGTGAAAACTGACTGGGTGTCTCACAAAGATAGAATTCTTTCTGTCTCACACACGACAGTTGCAGAGGATTAATTACCATAGCAACGAAGCACAGCAGGGCCGAGCAGCTAATTAGAACTACAAAAACGCATCACTGTAGTTTTTACTATGGCAGAGCTCTGAGGAAGGAGCTGGCCTTTAGAACTACTTGTGTTTTGGGCATTTTATAACTCATTTTAACCAACCATTGTTACACATGAAATTAGTTTGGCAATTTTAAATTAAGCTTTAAACAAATTTCAAAATAAAAGCCTTGACAATTTTTATATTAAGTAAGTGCTTTTTTGACCATTATATGTCTGATTTAACCAAATTACTGTTGTACATGGGATTACATTGACCATTTAAAATTAAGCATTCTGAAAATTTCAAAATAAAAGCCTTAAGATTCGTCTGTGGCCAATGCAGCGCCGCGGGCGCTGCAATGATACTAGCTTGCATTATCTTTTCTTCTCAAGTTAGGGCACTGTCTTGCGGAGCAAGGTAGAGCATTAGCATTAGCCTTTTACCTTGCATGAGGTATTCGCTATTTCCCTTACTTAATGCAGTAAGACATGCTTGTGACTCTCCACATGGTATTGATGACATTGCAGCTTTCTTTAGCATGGATGCTAATGTTTAGCATCAGAACGCTGGGTCCAAACCGACGGGCACACTTTGGCAGGCCCCGGTTAAATTTCTTCAGGAATTTTCTAGTTGGCATTGTTGTCTTTTACTGAGGTTTTATTGTACATTTCCTAATAGCCAATGTCAGACAGAGCTGCTGTAAACATAGGCAATATGCCCAAATTTATGGTGTCTTTGTAACATTTTTATCTTATCACTGCAGAACATATTACTCAATTTAACATGCTGGTTTTCTAAAAAATCTAATTATAAAAAAGGTAGCTTTGCAGTGTAAAGAAGTGGAGGCAACAACGGGACTCAAATCTCCTGGACAGCTTTAAAGCGCAGCAGCTAAGTGTGACTACGAGTTTGTTTCTGTCGACAGGCTGACAGTCGTTTTTAACTTGGATGAACTAATGTAAAATGACGTCTACCTTTTATTAAACTTGTTTTCATGCACATGTTAAATACTCTATGACAAAATGAAAGTAAATTGATCTTTTCAGAAAAAGAACACTTTTCCTGAGAACATGTTACTCTGGTATCGTTTTGGTGAAGTCTCTTCCTAAGAATCCTCCCATTCTCTCAATTAATGTGATGATGACGACCACATGAGTTCACAGCTATTGATGGATTGATGATATTATACCGTAAAGTGACAGAGATGACCTCCCATGTGAAGTCATGAAGTGACCTTTTCATGTTGTGCGCAATCTACTACATTACAAATTCCTGACAGGGATCCAGAAACAAGATGATACTGCAGCAATAAAATTTCACTGGGTTGATTATTGTCCAAGATTACTTATCTAATAGTTAGAAAAGATGTTCAGCTTAGCAAAATGCCTTACTTATTAATTTATTTTTATTTGACTATTGCTTAGCTTGTAAAAAAAATAAAAAGAAAGAAAAAGAAAATACTGGTAAAATTATTTGACTTAAAAACAAATTGTATTAGCAATAAAATACAGAATGAATAATGAACACAGTTAATACAAAAATAAAATATCTACCTTTTTGTGTACCTGAAGATTATAAAACTTATTTGAAAAAAAAAGACTGAAGTAAAAAACAAGAAAACATTTATTTAAAAAAAAGGAAGGTAAAGTGTTTCTTTTTTTTTTTTACTCTAAACTTTGAGGTCATTAAGGTATGCACATTTCTCAAGAAGGTAAAGGCAGCAGTTTGGGTCTGCCAGGGCCGTGTGTTGGGCATCTCTTGCTTTCTGCGACCATAGAAGGCCCAATACTGGGCAGATCAAAAGTTCATTATTTGCTTTGAGTCAAGGTACTCACTCACCATGCAAGGAACATCTAAAAGGTAATTCACGATGAAACTCGCTGATGTACCTTTAAATCCAATTTGCATTTGTTATTTATTTCTGAACCTTTTGGTGTTTTTATCTGAAAAAAAGATTCCTAAATGTGTAAATTTGTCTTTTACTCGCTTGTTTTAGTTGGATCCCACTGACAGGTGCGAGGAGAAAAACCTTTATATGCAGTGACAACCCAGCACACTTGTGTTAAATACCACACTTTTGCTCTATTTGCTCAGAAATTCAAAACAAAAGTGAACGCCATAATCTCACAGAAAGGCAGTTGTTTGTGCAAACAATAATATCTACACTACATATTTTTTTTAATATTTGGATTTTTGCAAATATTTTATAATACCCTCGCTAATTTTGCAGCTTTCAAGGACACTTGAAATGTTTCAAAACATCCGGGTTTTTGTTGTTGTTTTTTTGTCTTTGCTGTGGAAAAACACAAAGCTAAAGTTGGCTCACTAATTAATTGTGATTCATCTACAGTGGTCCTCAAGCCCTGGGCCGAGACCCGGTACAAGTCTGTGGACCAATTGGACCAAATGGTGGACCAATTGGACCAAATGGTGGACCAATTGGACCAAATGGTACAAGAAATAACGCAGTATTTCCGTTTCGTGTATTATTCGAGTCTGCAGGATTTTTTATTTTGAAAATCCTTTCACCGGATTCTCTCGGTTACGTTTCGCGCGCCAACATTGAGCCCAAATGCAGCAAAAGGAGCTATGATTGTAAATGACCTTATTAGTATTTTGTGTTTCCTCATTTAAAAACGAGTATTTGTTAACATAAGAATTTATGCTTTTATTTTGAAAGGGTTTGAAAAGGAAGAGTGGTGAAGTGTGACGCCAACGTTAGACAATTAACTGACAATTAACTGCTGGTCATCGCGCAGAAAGAGAGCGCCCAGGTTGGAGTAAAGCTAATAAAGGAGTAGTTCAGATTAGAGTATAGACAGTCAGTTGGTTGGCGCTTGGTTGATGGGGAACAAGGTGAGAGTTTTTAATATGTAAATATATATTTAGTTTTACTGTAAAATGTGTAATTTGCTTTGGGTGTGACGGTTGTGTTATTATACGGCACTAATATTCGTTGATTAACCGTTAATAGTTAATATGTTGCACTGTATGACAGGTTTAATTACAGAATGTAAGAAAAGTGATTTATATGTTAAAGTTAAATGTGAAAACAACACTGTTTGAGTTATTAATGTATTTTATTTGTATGTTCTGTAGCTCTTACGGTGTGTTCACATAAAAAGGCATTAAATAAACGTTGTGAACCATCAGTTTGAGAGACCATCCATTCAACCGGGACGCTACAATGATGTCTTTGGAAAGTTTCTTTGTGAAGCGGGAAAGGCCAAGAGAAGAGACAGGAGGATGGATTTGTCCCGGTAGGTGATTCCCACAATACAAGCTGCTCTGCATGATGTGGTGACCGACTCGTTAATGAGGGAATGAAGCTTCAACTGACCAAGCACCCTGAGCATTAGCAACACTTTGGTATTATGACTCTCATCTCTCCTCTCCCAGTTGGGAGAAACAAGCTCAGGTCTCCATTTTAAAATGTTTCGTATTTGCCATAAAATCAGTCCAGCCGACAGAAAAAAGAGAAAAAAACAAAACTCCTTTATCCGCACCGGCAGATCATTTGTCTGAGGCACTGAGGGGAGAAATCCGCGTTTTGCACCCGGAAGTCACGGACATGAGCTGTTATCGCGAGTTAAAATTTTCTCGAGAGTGAAATGTTCGTTTTTGTTGCGCATCTGTATCTTATTTTGAAGGGATATGCAAACGTTACCATAGCGACCAGAGCCAGAGAGCGTCAGGGCGGCGGTCGAGAGGAGGAGAGGCGTCGGAGCTCGTGAGCCGACAGGATGACCCGAGCCGATAAGCAGGTTCGGTCGGTTCGTGTGTCCAGCCACAAGGCAGGAGCAGCACACCACACACGAACTCATTGCACTCACGAACATCCCGATTCCAGAAGAAAGTCCCGTGAAACCCAAACATACCAAACGAAAATTTGAAATAACCAAATACGGTGACGATGTGGAAGATAGTTTGTGGTTCATTTTAAGCGAAAAAAGACAAAAGAAAAGGCGTTTGAGAAAAGGAGCAGCCGTTCTATTTGCTGCGCTGTGATTTGGAGGTGAGTTACGTTTTTTCGTAGTTAAAATTTTCAATTGAACAAACATAACCACATTTAATAAACATACATAAAAATGGCCTTTACGTATAGTAAAAAAACTTTTCCACACATCACCTCCGACATAACTGGGATTCCTCTCCGTTCTTACGTCACCGCGCTTTCTGATTGGCTCCCTGTCACATTCAACGTGCTGCGTTCAGTCAGGGAAAACCCCACGGGCTGCGTTCAGACATCGGGCTTATTCAACACACTTCCACGTAACACACCGCACACTGCAGGGCGTTGAAAGATTGTCGTAAAGGGAAAATCGGGGCAAAAAAAATCTACACCACAAAATTTATCAAGTAACATCAATATCACTAAATTTCAACTACACTGCTCAAAAAAAATAAAGGGAACACTCAAATAACAAATTCTAGATCTGAATGAATGAAATAATTATGAAAATAATTTCCACCTGTTGTCTGTCTATATCACCTGCACAACAGCAGGTGATATTGTCAATCAGTGTTGCTTTCTAAGTTTGATTTCACAGAAGTTTGATTTACTTGGAGTTATATTGTGTTGTTTGAGTGTTCCCTTTATTTTTTTGAGCAGTATATTTCAGGTTTTTCTTAACCAAGATATCATGGATGTGTGTGTTTTTTTTAAATACTACATCCACAATTAGCTTAAAATTGTTTACTCACCTTTAGACACTGCCTGTGCAATGGTTGTTGGGGTCTTATCATGAATGAACTGATAACATACAGATAACAACTGTGAATAAATGGATTGTCCTTATTTTTTCCCCTCTTCTTCTGATTCAACTGAATCAGCACTTTCTCTGCAGGTGATCTGTTTGGAAAGGGGCTTATTAGACAGTGTGCAAAAGAGTGCGCTGATTATGTGGAAAAACTTCACTCTGCTATTGAGTAGAAAAGCCTTTTAAAAAAAATCTCTCACTCTCAAACTCTCACTCCTCATTGTGATTCAGCTCCCTCTTTCTCTCCTTTATTTGCTGAGGGACTCTCCTCCCTCTCCTCCCACTCCTCCCTTCTGTGCGTCAAAATTCTCGACCCAGGCTGTTCAGGCTGCTTGTTTCTCAGTTTTCCTCCAGGATGGGTTTCTTCAGGTTCCTCCAGTCTGTCAAGAACGACCTCATCCTGTTTTTAACTCCGTGCATTCTCCTTCCTCTGCCTTTGGTGATCGGGACCTCGGTATGTACTCATTTGATGTGTCAGTAGACGGTGCATTGACTAATAAAACTGTTTCAAAGAGAAAAAAAAGAAAGTAAAAGTCAGGACAGAAAGTTGTTTTTGCCTTTCTTTCAATTTCTTTTCTTTAGCAATTGAATGAATAAAAAATATAGCAGAGATGCGATGGACAAGTTCTCTCTTTGTTTGTTTTTTTGCTGTTTTTTGGGAGGGTGATTTCACCTGTTGCTGCGCTGTGCACTAGGCTCCTGGACAATGTTCCCTCTAATTGTTCATGTGTCTGGGCGTACACACAAGCTTCCTGGGCACACTGAGGACCACTGTGAGCATCATCAGTGTACACGGCGTGGCCACGCACAAGTATCATAAATCTGGGATCATAGAAAGTTGCATGGCTTATTAAAAAAATCATATTACATCAGCAATTTTCATTCGTTTGCTTTTAATTTAAGTGATTTGCTCAATTAAAATAATAAAAAAAAGAAAACATTGCTGTTCATGAGATGCATGCTATAAGTAAGAGTCCTGCTTCAGCCAGGGTGAGAAATGAGACATTACCCCTTTCAGACATAAATGTTTGTTCATATTAAAACATTCACATTTTGCACAATGAAATCTTTTCTGTAGCTTGTGATGCAGTATAAATTCTTGTAAAATATTTAATTACAGTTTTTTTCACGTCTGCCCTTCTCACTTCTCCAGTGGTGGTTCACTTTGCCCAGCTTGATGGGTCAGTCTGCTTCTTGCTTTATGCACTTGAATTCAGCATATTGACTGTTAATGGCCTCCATAATCTGTGGGTGGAGGAGAATGGCCTCATACTTCTTTGCCAGTGTACAAATGTCTGCTTATCTATAGTCAAAAGTCTGAACTCAACATTTCAATATAAAATGCAGACCATTCCTTTCATTTGATTTGATTCCATTTGGTCTTAGAAGAAGTGCATTTCTTTTTTTTTACTTTGGCTTGGTGAGTGGATGTCCCACTGTCCTGGCCTCGCTAAGCACTGTGACTTTTAACAGTAACTCAGCTATACAGGTAGCTAAACACTTTCCCATCCGTCCACCAAGAAGCACTCCATTTGGTTCTTTAGCAGGGTTTAATGAGAATCGTGTAAAACTGTAACACACAAAAGTACAGAAAATGAATGCCAGCTAGGCTAACGCGTCGGGCTAACACGAGTAAAAAAAATATCGTGACATAAAACATGTCAACGGGTTACAAATTATGATTTATATGACAAGCAAATTAGAACAGCACTTACAGACGATGCCGTTTCTGCACTTAGATTAAAGAAAACACAACAAAGAGGGCCCCTTTCGGACTACATGGACCAACGGCTTTCTTCCTTTCTGGTAAACAAGTCGTAGTAATAAAAGTAACCACAAGATGGCGTCAGTAAGCCAGTAATAGACAAAATTATAACATTTGCCACTAGATACCCTCAGTAGATTAACTTAACACTGAATGACATTAAATTAAACAGGTTTCACTACACCCACGTAGACATGATAAGGTGATGGCTTTCACGTTTCTTAACTCTACCGCACTATTCTCACCTGCACGGCCATATGACCAAGGCACGTAACCCACGTACACACAGCATGCGCTGATTGGCTGCGTAGCGAAAGTGAACCGTATCGTATCATTGGCTGGATTCCTGTCACTCACTGAGTTCGATCGCAAAGTAGTACGGAAAAAAAAATTATTGGTCCATAGTCAAAACTGATGTCTGAGCTCAATGTCCACTTTACGTTGGACTTTATTTTATGCGCTACATAGATTTTCTTGTGCGCTGAGAATATGTGAGCAGTGCGCGATTGCGCAGGCGCGCAGCTTAGAGGGAACATTGCTCCTGGAGGCTCCGCGGTGCACCCCACGGTCCTGTTGTTTTAACTCGGGACTCGGCACTTGACAGCATCAACTGTCAAGTGCAGCCGAACACGCAAAGTGAACGGGGTTCTGTCCACTTTGCCACCTCCACTTGTGACAGGGACACATGCGCGTCTGAAAGCAACGGAGCAAAAACATTTGAAGTGTTTTAGTTGCTTAAATTGTCTGATTAATACGTAAAATAATATTAGCTGATTCATATGTGTCGCTTGAAAAAAAAATTATTGAAGGGTTACTTAAATGTGTTCAGTTATGTGTTTAAATTGGGAACAAAACTGCGAAGTTGTGAGAAGGCAAATGTCTATTTATGGGCATTGAATTTTGGACTTTCTCCCAAAAGTCAATGTCTTGATTCTAAAACTTTTAGTCCTTTATATGCGATTGGCATTGTTAGGGTTTTAATGATATGAATGTTTGTAAGGTTTGCAGATGACACAAATATTTAGTGTAGTAATTTAAATAAAAAACAAGTTACCTGTAATAAAGAAAGAGGCAGTTTGACACTGACAAGTTATCACTGGAACTATATAGAGCTCCTTCACTGACAGAGCTGCATCCTAAGTGCAAAAAAGATCATAATAGGAGATCCTTCCTCCCAGTTAGATTCTGTAACCATCACAGCTCCCAACAAACTGAGTATGTGCTTACATCCCTGCTGGTATTTAGACAGTAAATCTAAAGAAGAACAATCTATATATATATATATATATATATATATATATATATATATATATATATATATATATATATATATATATATATATATATATACACAGCATCAAATTACATTAAATGTTTATTGTCATTGAATCACCTTTAAAGATGAAGTCTGTTCTGTGTCACCAGAATCAGAACCAAACATGAAGAAGCAGGATTTGGCTCTTATGGTCCTCTAATCTGGATCTGAAACACTGAGTTTCCTTATATCAAGGTTGTTTAGAGTTACCTTTTATTAATTAAAACCTGGAAAATGGATCCTCTCTGGTCTGGGTTGCAACTTTTCATTACTTTGTCATTTTTGCTTCGTCAGTTGTGTTTTTTATTTCTCTGTCATGTCATGTAAAGCACTTTGACCTGCCTTGTTTCAGAAATGTTCTACACAAAATAAACTTGACTTGTGTGTGACCAGAAACATTAGAACACTCTGATCTTCAGCCTTTGAACCATCATAACATCCGGTTTAAATTGACATGACGTTAACTTTTACTACAAATGTTTGCAGCTTTTTATTGGTGACTTTTGTCTGAGGAGTTTTAAACCAAATTAGCCATTGTATTGTAAAAACATACCTGCTTTTTCTTTTGTTTTTTTCTACATGTCTTTGTGGGATTTTCTATACAGGAGGCAGAATGTGCGTATGTGATGATCTTAATGGCAGTGTACTGGTGCACTGAGGTACTTCCACTGGCTGTGACATCACTTCTCCCAGCTGTCCTTTTCCCTTTGTTTGGCATAATGAAGTCTAAAGATGTAAGTCAAGCAATTGCCAGAAATTTGTTTTTGAAAAAAAAAAAAAAAAAGAATAAATTTTCCAGAAATTGAATCAACTCCCATATGATCTGCCGTTCCCAGGTAGGCATGCAGTACTTGAAGGACACTAATTTGCTGTTTGTGGGAGGCCTGCTGGTCGCCGTGGCGGTGGAGCACTGGAATTTGCATACACGCATCGCTTTAAGGGTGCTACTTTTCGTCGGTGTGCGTCCAGCGCTGTGAGTAGCTTGCTGACAGACTCGCATCCGCTGTCCTAATCTTTTAGACCTACATGTCCTCAGCTTATCTAATCGGCTGTCAGAGGAGCAAATATGCTGAAGATAAGGGCACTGTGTTCAAGGTTTTTACTGCATGGTAAAACTCTGTTTGTGACACTTTGTCACCTATGGTGATAAAACCCATCATCAGTTTCCGACTCCAATTTTGATTTTTCATTTTTGTATTAATACAAGACTAAATTCATCATTTAGTGTCAATATGAGCTGCTGGTGCATCACAGGACTCTTTTACTGTTTGTTTTTTTCTTTTCCTTCTTTCTGAAAGGTTGATGCTGGGTTTTATGGGTGTCACTGCATTCTTGTCGATGTGGATCAGCAACACAGCTACCACGGCTATGATGGTGCCAATTGTCCAAGCCGTGTTGGACCAGCTCAACAACAGTGACAGAGAAGTGCCAACGATCCTCAGTGCAGACGAGAATGTCCAGACATCAGACGCTGACGGCAAGCCACCTGCGCAGACAGAAAAAGAGGCTGAGGGAAACGGTGAGTAATTGTTAAATAGGCCGGTTTTATATAAAATTTTATTTATTTTTGTTTACATCATCATACAATGTTATTCTCTCATCAAAAACATACCCGGAGTGTTGCCTTGATTGTTCCTCTTCGGAGTTGCAGTTTCCAAGCTTCTGTGACTCCCCCCATTCAGCTCCTACAGACTAGCCAGCAGCAATTAACAAACACCAGATGGAACTGCGCATCTACTGAGCTCTTTACAGAAGCTGCTTTAGGTTACAAGAGGAGCAATGTTGCAATGACTTTCTGAAGGCGGAATGGTGGAAAGAGCAGGAGTTTTTAAAGACAGAGGCCCTATTTAAAGGCGTCACGATACAAAGAAGAATATCTTTTATATACAAAATTTTTGAAGGCAGCATGGTAACTCATTGTGCTAGAAAATAGCACTATTTGGCCTCAAAGTACTTAACATGAATGTTTCAAGATAAAAAAAAAGTCCAGTCCGTAATTACTGATGTATTGCTTTGCCATATTATTTCTTGTGAAGACACCGACATTGATGTAATTCATTTTTTTTAAAAATCAGTTTGGCAGTTCTGAAAACTCTTTCCTTTCCTTCCTCTTTGTTTCAAGGCCCAGCAGTGGTGACTTTTTTAGACGCCTCAGTGGAGGTTGCCAGGCATAAGGAGGCAGTGGAGAGGCGAAGAATGACTAAAGGGATGACCTTGTGTGTTTGTTACGCTGCCAGCATCGGAGGCACCGCCACGCTGACAGGAACTGGTCCCAATCTGGTGCTTAAGGGGCAAATGAACCAGTGAGTGTGTCCTTATGATTTACACGCTCAACTTTTCTTTTTTTCAACAGCACAGCTGACTCTATTTCCATGTGTCTTAAAGGTTGTTTCCTGAAAATGAAGATGTGATTAACTTTGCCTCCTGGTTCGGCTTTGCGTTCCCAAATATGATCCTCATGCTGACACTCGCCTGGCTCTGGCTGCAGTTTGTCTTCATGGGGTTCAAGTGAGTCTCTGACAGAAAATGTAACAACTTTCCTGCTTTGCGTCATGTTTGACAGTAGAGACGACGTGAAAATTCTGACTCCCATGCGATTCCTCTAGTTTCAGGAAAACATGGGGCTGTGGGGCAACCAAGACAGAAAAGGAGATTGCTGCATATAACCTGATCTGTGAGCAACACCATCAGCTGGGGTCCATGAGGTTTGGAGAGATAAGCGTGTTGAGTCTCTTCATTTTGCTGGTAGTCCTTTGGTTCACCAGAGATCCGGGTTTTGTTCATGGCTGGGCTACAGATCTAAACTCTACAGCAGAGTGTGTACTCCTGATTTTTATTTCTGATTTTACACATTTGCACAAATGTTTACATGAATGCAGTTGATGGCAGAATCTCCCTGGTCTTCTAACCTCGCAGATATGTGACAGATGCCACAGTAGCAATTTTTGTGGCCATCCTGCTTTTTGTCCTACCCTCTGAACTACCGCGATTCTGTTCACGTGGGACTCGAAGTGTCGATACAAGTAAGGCATCATTCTAGAAAAAAAACACAAGTTAAAGGAATCTATTTTTGTAATGTTTTGTCTCTTGTGGGTGTTTTCATTCAATCTGTAGCCACGCAACAGACCTCTACCTCAACACCCCGACTCCTCACCTGGAAAGTTGCCCAAAAGAAGATGCCATGGGGCATTGTACTTCTCCTTGGGGGTGGGTTTGCCCTCGCCAAGGGGAGTGAAGTAAGTAGCAAGAGCAGTTATATTTCTATGTTATATTGTCACACACTGTTGTGTTAAGCTAGGTTATGCTATTGACCCTTTGCAACTACGTCACCAAACCCCTTAACAGACATTCGAAGTGAAGGTCCACTCTTCTCCATTGTCTGTGGGAATGTCTTAAAATCCAGAAGTTTTGGAAGGACTGAAGGTGGAAGGTATTAATGGGTGTCTTAAATGGATGTCTTGACTTTTTCTCTGCCTTAATCTAAAGGGTTATGTATGATTTTGGAACTAACAAGTGCAGGTTTGAATGGTGAATGTAAGTGTGTATAAGTACATGTTTACAATATTAAGTTTGTTGTTTGTAAGTTTGTTGTGTCCTAAAAGAGAAAATTCAATAAAATATATTGGGAAGAAGTGAAGGTCCAGAGTATTGAACGGAGTGACTGCAGTCGTTTTGCCAAGTTATTTCTGCCAAGATAGCCACGACTTCTACTTGTTCAAGTCGAGCTAATTTATCTGAACGTAGCACACCTGGTTGTGGCTCATCGACAGTGGTTTTGACGGAGCAGACCTTGGGTCACTTTACAAAATGTAAGCTGGTGAACTCTCATCTTTTTGGGATGAGATGTAGATTTTTCTTCTTTTTCTTCTTGCTATCTCATGCCAAATAGTAAACAGTACTGCATTCAAAGCAGACCACATATTTCCACACTGTTTTTTGTTTTTATTACTTTATTTTATTGTTTGTGGTTATTTTGATATGTAGTTTAAGAGTGTAATGCATTGCAGGTGCCAAAATGAAAGGATTACATGAAGACAAATTTAAGAATCTGAGGTTGTGTTCGATGGTTTCTGATGACACTTGTTTTACGTGAGAGTCTGCTCTCCCTGATGTTTCTACATCTACTTCAAAAGGACTAAATACTGGTAATTCTTCAACATTAGGGCAACAAGCTTCAAAAGATTAAGCATTTATTAAAACATCAAATACCTACCTAAAGAGGTCCAACATTTGCACACTTTTATGTAGTGGTGGTGTTGTGTGTACTTCCCAGGATCATTTTGGTTTGAATGTGACATACAGTGTTTTTATGGTTTGTTCAACTTTTTTTTTTTATGTAGATGAAACTCAGTCCCATCTCACAAACAGCAATTAATTTGGTCACCCTGTGTCAAAATGCATTGCATTGTGTCATGTTGTGTTGCACCTTTGCTTGCCTTATGTCATGTTTTCTGCTTTCAGGTATCAGGGCTCTCAAAGTGGATGGGGAACCAAATGACTCCTCTGCAGAACATCCCTCCCTGGGGAATAGCTATCATTTTATGCCTAGTGATTGCTGCTTTCACAGAGTGTACCAGCAATGTGGCGACTGCGACGCTGTTCCTGCCTGTCTTGGCCTCAATGGTAAGAGCTATCACACAGACAGTTACATGAGATACTGGGAATCGTCGTAAAAACTGGCTGGAGACATAAACTCGGGCCTGACCGCAGTGATTCAACTAAGTTAAATGTCCAAACTGGAGTTCCAGCAGCCGCATCACTCCCAGTGAGAACTGGCCTACTTTCCCATGTTTGGCAAGCTCTCTAGTTGGTTATTCGGGGTGAATATGTTCTGCTCTCCTCAGTGGGGCCCTCCTCCCATTAATGACCTGCCAAGTACACCAGGGCAGCCCACTGCCCTGTCTGGCTGTCACAAAGCAACTAAAGAATGACATTACTGCGCCTACCGAGTGACCACTTCACAGAATTACAAAGATCACGCCACTAAAGATAGTTTCTAATTGGAAGAATTAAACTAATATCTATAAAAAGCTAAGCTAAGAATCTGTACCAAACTAGTGACTTGCAAAAGCATTTATACCCATTAGATTTTTTTTTGTAATTTTTTTTTTGTACATTTTGTTATGATTACTACGTTTCATGTGGTAAACCAAAACAAAGCGGAAGGAACGAAACATAGCTTTAGGGGGAAAATGGAGGGGTTGTTATAAAAATGTGAAATACTGCGATTTATAGCATTATTAATCATCCCTCAGAGGAAAGGAACACACCATGAAGATTGGAGAGGTTTAAAGCACTGAAATAAAATGAAGTTTGTTGCTCAGTGTGTGTGTGCACTTGAAAGTATTGATTCAGGGATTGAATATTAATGGACGGCAGTCTTTTTGATCACTTTTTGTAAAAGAAAAAAAAAGATTCATTCTTTTCCTTTCTCTTCAAAACTATGTACTGATTTGTACCTGGTTCCAAAAAGAAATGATGAAGTTTGTGGTTTCAGTCTGAAAATAAGGTAAATGCATGTTGTGTCACTGAATGTGCAAACTGGCTAGAGCTTTGGCAATGAAAACCTGGAGTGATAATAGTTTTACGGTTCATTGCATTGTGTGCCATGATGTCAAGGAAATCTAGATGATTAAAACAAAATCTATTTACATAGACAAAACACTATCATTGCGGCGACCTGATATACAGTTTAAATGTGAAGTTTAGTTCTTTTCACTGTTTATTTTGAGAAACAGAAATTACTGTGCACTTGTTCCGAGCCTCTGTGCCTCGTGACATGTAATTCAGAAGCAAATTCCACTCAGCAACGTTCCCTTAGTTCCCAGCAGTCTGCCATTATAGCGAACACATGTAGCGCCTTTCTATTTTGGACGTCTTGACTCAGCACAAGGCCAGCAGGAATTACATCTTAATTATACCCACCTAATGAGAGTTTTCACTCCGGGCAGAGCTGCACACATTTCATTCAGAGTTATGAGTCAATGATTGTGGTTGGAGGGGAAAATAGCCAGATAGTGTAGCCGAGGATTATGCGATCACGTCTGTTTTCATCCAGCCTTAGAGTCTTAAAAACCTGCTTTGTGATTACTGCAGTCTCAGTCCATTGGAGTCAATCCTCTGTACGTCATGGTGCCCTGTACTCTGAGCGCCTCGTTCGCATTCATGCTGCCCGTCGCCACCCCTCCCAACGCCATAGTCTTCTCCTATGGACAACTCAAGGTTGCTGACATGGTGAGTAGGGCGGCTGATTGTGGGGGTTATTTTGTAAATGATATGCTGAATCTGATGGTGCTATGACTTTTGCTGCTGCCATTATACAATTAGGACACAAGAACCTGTATTTAATGTCGTATGTAGTTGCAGCCCAAGCGGTTTTTATAAAATGTGGTGAAAAGCATACATATATTTCCCAGAGCCAAACTGATACAAGATTAGAAGTAAGTCTGATAAAAAAAAAATTTAGTGACAAATCGACATAAATTTAGCATCTATGCACCAAAAATTTGGAACAAACTTCCAGAAAACTGTAAAACAACGGAAACCTCGACTTCCTTTAAATCGCTACTAAAAACACACCTGTTTAGAATTGTATTTGAAATGTAATATGTAACAATGTCTTGTTTATTCCATGATGCATAACTTTGCGTTCTTGTGTTTATGATGTAAAGCACTTTGAAATGCCTTGCTGCTGAAATGTGCTATTACAAATAAAATTTTGATTTGATTTGATCTTGTACCTGAAATGTAGCTTAAAGGAAAATAATCATCCTAACTCTTGTGCCCATGTCTCCTTTCAAGCATGTGGGAGAAACTGTGCTGAATACTGAAAAGGACCTGCCATGTAAAAAAGCAGCCCTTTGTTTTATCCTTCGCTTCGTACAGTCTGGGCTGTCTTCCTGGAGGTGTTGAATTTTGAAATTCTACCCAATTGCTAGCTGTTGCCCGTGACATATGTAATGCTCCATTTCGACTCCAAGATGCTTACTAGAAATTGCCTGCGCTGTAAACAACCTGCCTCCGAGCTGAGCCAAACAAGACGGCTGTTAATGTTAATTCAACATCTGGAGGCGTAGCCAACACAGACAGAACAACTTCCTCTTCCTCCTCTGCCATTGGTGAATGTACAGGTAGACAGGCACAAGTCTAAAAACTGCGCAAAAAACTAACAACGATGTCATTCACAGCTTCTGCTTCTGTTTGCTAATTTGCCTGGTTGGCACTCGAGAGCCCAGAGCCAATGTACAAAGCAGAGGAGACAAGGCTGGTTTTTACGGGGAACACTACACACCATAACATTGAAAGAGGACATACTTTCTTTTTACCATTTTTAGACAATGGAAACTTTTATGTGAGGGAGATAAGTTTTTTGTTGTTGTTTTGTTTTGTTTTCCAAAACGAAATGATGAATTTCTTTTTGTTTTATTAAGCTAACTCTGCGGTCAGTTTGACAAAGCGCCACTGAACCGAAAACCTTCAATAAATTGGGCAGAGCAATATTTTCAGATCTACTGACTTCAAGTAAATAAAGCACACCTTTAAAAAAAAGTATTTTTGTCCCCAACAGGCTAAAACTGGGATCGTTATGAACATTATCGGCATCATTTGCATAACACTGGCCATCAACACCTGGGGCAAGGCCATGTTTCACCTGGACACCTTCCCGGCCTGGGCCAACGGCACAGGCGTCTGAACGACTTCTGCGACCACTCACCGTCTATGCAGGCCCTCCTCCCCCAGACCGCGTCCTCAGGTGACAAACACCTGAAACCAGAGTGAAAGCATTGGACCAAACAGTGAGCTTCATGTGTTGTATTCCTGTCTGGATTTTATGAGTGTTTTGTGATGGAAAGTTGGAGGGGAATTTGACTGGAAAAGAGTGGGTAACACATGGCAATATTTATACATCACACTGAAGGGATACTTGAATGAAAGCCCCTGATGCCTTAAATTACACGGCACAAACCAAATGCTGTCTATTAAGTTGAAACCAGAAAATATGAATTATCCTAGCAGCTAGTTCTGGTGATGTAATTAAAAACAAATCTCATATTTTGTAAAAGGCATTGAATCTTTTCAATTTTGGGGGGGGATTTGTTTTGGGTTTTTTTTGCAAACGTAGCCAGATGTTTTTAAAAAAAAATTAATTTTAACATACTGTATATTCATGGTCTTGCAAAATTATTGAAACAGCTTGAGCTTTTGTCATGTAACCACCATCGTCAAAGTTTTAAAGTTGGATTTTTTTTTGTCAGATTGAAACAAAGTGTAACGTAATATTTGAAGTGAAATGAAAATGCAACGTGGTGTTTAATTTTTGCTCTGATTCTGGAAAGTGTGGACCTCTGTCCTCTAAACACAGTTCTGCTTATACTAAGCACGTTATTAATGTATATACTGAATGTATATGCCATACTTTTATGACTATATAATTATCCCTCTATACTGCAGTTGTTTCCTACTGTGTGTTGATCTATCAAAGAAATAGTTTGTGGCTGTGATATAATAAAATCTAAACTTGTTAAAGAGATATTAATACTGTTGCAAGGCACTGTAATTTATTCTCAAAGAAGCATTGTATACTTGATATTTTATGTAGTTCACTAAGCAAATTTTTCTGTTTTATTTATTTTATTTATGGAACTTTACACTGAAAAGTCTACACACATTTTTATTGATGGTGCATATAAAGTTCCCCCAATGTGACCAAATGTAATTTCAAAATTCCATTTTTAAATGTAAATAAATTTCAGATAATATTCAAGACACTGTGACAAGAACAATTCAACTTTATAAGCACTTTTTAAAATACATTTATCTGTCAAATGCTGTATCTCCAGTACTGTTAAATACATTTTTAGCATCTGATTTTGCCACCTTCCTTTAAATTCAAGCATATTTCACCCATGAGTGTTTTAAGCTTCTATTTTCTGAACATGGTAAATATTATAACGGTTAATGTGTGTTGTAAGGGGAAAATTTGGACGTATATATGAGACTTTATTAAATAAATGAACCCAAGTACAATTTGGACTTGAAAGGCTTATGTTAAAAGTCTTATTTGTCTCACTGTAATTATGATTTTTGATTTAAAAACACACACACTGTATTTGTGCGTAGTGGTTTTATACATATTTTGCACCGAAAATAAAAAATAAATAAACAAAGAAACTTATGTCGATTTGTCAATTTCAATCTAGTTTAAATTCATATGATCTGTGCAATTTGATTAGCTCAAAATGAATCTGTTGTTTTCACAGCAAGTTGTTGACTGTTTTCGTCCCTCCAGAGACTTTTTCACAACACAGAGGCTTAAACTGGGGCAGGAAAAATGAGAAACAAAACTGAGCCGAGTCACCGCCGGCTTATCGTCCAAAACAAAAAGATAATCTCACTTTTATCATCCTCTGCTGTTTCTCAATCTTACACAACAATTATCCGTGTTTTAAAGCACCTCGCTGTGTCTCTGCGTCTTCCTAACTGACCTCTTGTCTCAAGCACAAATCAGACGTAATCCTGTAAACACCGTGTGGGAAACCACAATCATCCTGGACTTAAAGCGCCACACCTCATGTATGCAGGCGAGCCGCCATGTGTCATTGTGCTGCTGGGAGACATAGTGTAAGCCCAGAGTCAAAGCGGCAATATAGTGCTCCATTGTTTTGCGTCATAAACATTATGGGCTCAAAGATGACATTTCATTTGGGTTTTATGGTCCCATTTTACGCCCTTTGGTCATTTACACTGTTTGCTCAGATTTTTATGACAGCAACACAAAGAAGTGTTTATTATTTTTTTAAATCATGTAATCTGAAAAGTGTGGCGTGTAGTCACAATAAGAAATTAATCAATTAGGCATAAATTAATAATGATAATTGATCATTTCCACTGTGATGATTAAGATTTTTTGGAAGCGCAATTTTGCTCGTCTTGATTTCATAATCCATTTTCTTTCTGATTTTGGTTCTGAGTGGTTTTTATTTCCACTCTACTTTTTGGTTGGGTTTTATTATGGATACTTAGAATATCTTTCTCTTCCAGTGTTAAAGATTTTCTTTAGAAAAATCAAGTTGATTGGTCGTTGAGAGGGGCGAACATGCACTATCATGCCATTTTCAATAACTTAAAAATGATCCCAAAACAACAATATTATCGTTTATCGCAAGGATCACTCAAACTATTTATTTAGCAGCAATTGTTTTCCCCTTGTGACAGGCCTATTTCTGACATCCGTTAATAAAAAAAAAAGCCATCAGACCTTCGAAACATGGTGGAAGAATAGATCCCAGGAGATACCTGTCCCCATTTGGTACCGGGAAGATGGATGGAAAAAATGCAGGATAATCGTGGAAGAAAACCTGTTAGAGGTTTTGAAGGTTTTGAAAGTGGGTCAAGCTGGACAAAGACCCTAAACAAACAACCAGAGTTGCAATGGAAACATTTTCAACACGCCATTCAAGTGTTTGAATGGCCCAGTCAAAGTCGAGCTGAGAATCTGCTGTACACAGACTCTGTGTATCCAGTCTCAGTTAGAGCTATCTTGTGAAGCAGAATGGTCTCTTGCTGTAGAAAGAGACATTAGCAATGTGCCTCAAGTGAAGTGAAGTTGGACTTGTTTGTTTAGCACATTTCGGCACCAGGCCAGTTCAAAGTGCCCTGCACCTTAAAAACATCATACAGTAACCAAGAAAATCAACGTTTCAGCATCTTTGCAGTTTTCTGGAAATTTGTTCCAGATTTGTGGCGCACAGGCGCTGAATGCTGCTTAACTGTGTTTGGTTCTGGGGATGCAGAGCAGAACCAGAAGACCTTAGAGATCTGCTGGAAGGTTGATACAACAGCAGCAGATCTTTTATGTATGCAAGTCGTTCAGTGATTTATAAACTCTCAACAGTATTTTAAAGTCTATTCTCTGAGCTGCAGGGAGCCAGTGGAGGGACTTCAGAAGCCGGTTTTAGTGAGATCGTCAGCAGCAGCAGCTCCAGCTGATCCGTGAAGACACCGCTGCAGCAGTCACTGCGACCAAAGATGAACGCCGCATGGCTTTTCTGAACTTGCAGCGAGCTTGAAACTCATATGCGACAGAAAACTGCACCTGACCTCGCCGCTGGCAATGTGCTCGCAGAAAACATGAATGCAACGGTTACCGAATAAAAAAAGAAAACCCATACGCTCTGACCTCTCTGCTGTTGGACAAATAGCAGTCGGTCGTCGTCTACGGAGGGCTTGAGTGCAAAGAGTCGTTCAGGCCGCTATGATCCCAATCCGGAAGAATGCTTATGTAATTACAGTGCCTTTCTCTTTCTTTACTGCCTCCGTGCCACCCACTCATTATCCAATTCCAACACATCCCTATGTATTATAGTCCACTCTATTGGCTAAATATCCACGGGTGGCTTTGAACTCCCGCTTCCTTTAATTGGATTTCACGCAGCTGAGCTGACATAAGCAAAAAACAATAGCTTTATGTCAACTCAAAATGACTCAGTGAAGAATTCCTTTTTAGTTGCAGAGTAAGCAAGGAGCCGGCTTAATAAGTGACCACAAACATCTGTTTTGTTTCATGCACCTGCCTTGTATTTTAAAAGTATCTTTGCACACAGGATGCTTTGGAGCCACGTTAGCCTTCCCGTCTCCCCTGTATCAGTTACGCCCGGGCACAATGTGCCGCTTGTCTGATAAAAATCTATCCTCCGCTGAGGATAAAGACGTTTGTGAAAACACGGGCCTCTCTTCGCAATTGGAGAGCCCAATTTTAGAGGCTAAAATATCCAAGGGGAGGGACAGAGATTCTTTCTTCCTTTATCTGCTGGAGGGCCAAAGTGCATTCGTGAACATCCTTCCACCTAATGTCCCTTTTGTAATCATTTACCTTGATGGGATTCTTGGAAAATTATTACACTTTAATAGGCCTTATATAACAGATAAAAACCACAGATTCTCACAAAGACAAATACAGTAAAGAAAAAATAAAAGTGCTCAAAACCTTTGATTTCATTGGTTTAGGATTGTTTTCTTTAGACGTGCAGCATAACGGCTTATGTACATGTTATTGCCACATGGGAATACAGAGTGAGATTTATTAATATTGTTTTTACCAAAACATGCAGATTTTCATTTAAACTGCATCTCCATATCTACAAACTTCAACAATCCTTTTCTTTTTAGTTCAGGCGTAAGTGAAATATTAATCTTTGAAGCAATATATGCAGAAATCAGAGGGTTTGTCCTGCACTATTGCAGTTTTAGTGCTTTAATAATATTTCTGTTTGTATTTTATTTCTTCAGGTTAAAATTTGCTATTAAATTTTAAGCGTAGAAGCAGAGAGCTATCAGTTCTTTGCCATAGACATAAACTTGCAGGTGTCGGGTTTGTTCCTCCCACGCCTCAGTTCTACTCGGTTCAAAGGTTACGGGTCACTTCAGGTCAGCTCAATTAAATTTAGTTCACTTTAGTTTGACTCAGGTTAGCCTGATTCAAATTAATACAGCTCACTCAAAGTAGATTGAAATTCTATTCTCTAAAATGAAGTTGAATTCCGTAACACAATATGAATTTCAATCCAATGTCTTTTTCCATCAGTTTTGCGTAGTTTGGTTTATTTCAGTAAATAATTGTAATTTTATCAAAAATGATTAAACAGCGCTTAATTAAACTGAACTCAAGTCAAGTCAGTTCATTTTATTATATAAGCCCCTCAAGTGAACAACAAATGTCATCAAGTTCAGTCTGGAACTGAACTTGTACAAGATGCAAGTTCAGTTCCAGATTTTGTTCTACTATATTAGAGTAAATGTAGAGCAAATCCGATTGGAGTGACTTCTCAGGGGCGGGCTGGAAGCGTCCAGGAGTTGCCATGCTCAGGGAACGTTCTGTTTCTGGAGGCTTGCTTTGCCTGCACCACAAAATTGCTCAAACACAGGGTAACAGATGATCGTATAAACACAGTTCATTTATGTTCTGGTCCGCAAACCTTCCACTGAGTTCCTCGCCCCGAGGTTCTCAGTATTGTTTTATTTAAATGGCACTTCAACCGGCTCAGGGGTTAGAGTTAAGCTATCAGGGGTTAGAGTTAAGCTATATTTATGCAGGCACCTTATTTCTTTTAACTTTAATTGTTAAAAAAGAGGTGCAGACATAGGTCATCTCTATCTGAAGCCCATCAAACTCTATTTATTTATCCACATCTACAGGACTGATGGAGATAAAACAGGCAAGATGAGCTCTTTGTTGTTTTTTTTACAGGCTCTGTTCTTTGGAGAAATTGTGAATGTAGCTAAAGCATGAGTTGGTGTTTGCTGCCAAACTCCCAACTCTGTGAACAGTGTCACTTTTTGTGAACTTTTTATCGGCTTGAATTCACAAATACAAACCTGCATTTGTGCCACAAATATAGTTAACATGTCATATTTTCTAAGTCTAAGAGAAAACTGGCAAATTCTCTCAGATTTTGGTAGTGCAACAGAGCTTGCAAACAAAATTCATCTTTTGCTTACCGTTTTGTTTAAAAACGGAAGTCATTTGAACTGATAAACATTCAAAGGACTAAGAAGTATACTTTGAGATGCCTCTCGTGTACACAATATTTCATCTTTTCAATTTTAGAGATTCTTTTCTTCACCATATTAAAGTAGTGCACAGTTGCAACAGTCATTCCAAAAACTAAAATACACTTTTTTCCTAGAGTCACTACTTTACTTAATTATGAAAATTAACAGCATTTTTTTAAAATTCAGACCTGTTTTTAAGCAATAATGAAATAAAATATGGTCACTAAAGAAAGTTAAATAAAGTTTTATATATACATATATATTTCATCTTATTACTTTGAAATGTGTAAATAATTTAGAAATTATTCATACAGATCTTGACTGAAAAAAGCAGTCATTTAATTCAACAGAAAAGTTTCTCCTGACAAGCATTGTTGACATTTTAGATCTGGTGAGTGAGTCGGGAGGGAGCTGAAAATTTGGGTGACGACAAAGAAGATCTTCCAACCTCAAAAACTGGAAACATTGCAAAAAATCTGGTCAGCAGTCATTGGGCTCTTCATGCTGTTGCAATGATGATTTCCATCTGATTATTAAAAGGTTGGTTAGCTGGCATTTAGCTCCCTCTAGTGGTCGCTTACAGTTGCTACACAAAACATTTCTTCCCCAGACTTCACAAGGTCACTGTAATACATTGCTGCTCAGAGAATGTTTTGTTTTATGTACTTCATTTGCTCAATTGTTTGTTAGTATATCTAACAAATCACATGGCATTAATTGTAATTGTCTTTTAAAGTAAATGATTTGGGAGGCCAGGCTCAGCAGACAGAATTAGAACAAAGCTTCTATTCAAATTGGTTAAAATATTTGTTCCCTTTTTCATTGAAGTTGGGTTGAGTCGGCACAAATTTTACTCAGCTAAGAGTAACAATGTTTAATAATAATATTGCATCTACTGCTTATACTTCTCAGTCCAGATCTCCAAATAAAGGCTGTAAACCATATTAGGAGTAGTTGTGTCGAAAAGAGTAGGAGCTTCTTAAAGGGACAGAAGTCAATTTTAAGGGGTCAGGTGTCTTCAAAATTTGTTTTAGGTTATGTTTGATACATGCAGCATATTTATAGCAACTGAAGGCAACATAGTTATTATGTACTGTAAAAAAACAACACATTTACATTCTGACTAGTAAGAATAATAATTCAAGATCTCTTCAATTACATTTTGACTAGTCAAAATTCCTTTCAAGAGATCTCAAATGACGTCACTGGATTTGTAATTTGACGAGACACGTAAGGGAACTATTCACCGGCGTGACGTAACACGACAGGTTTCACCAGTAGTCACGTGCTGCATCTGACCAGAAGCGCTTGCAAGTGAACGCTTAAAACACGTTCCTGGCAGGCGAAGTCACGCGGCCGTAAACTGAGTCACCTGGCAACAACTCCTCACCGCTGGCCCTGAAGACAGGGGCCCCCACAACCAGCGGAAGAGCAGCGGACCAGCGGGTGGACGCTGACTTCTCCAGACGCTCTTCCTAGTCGGTTTTTTTCCTCGCGAGGAGGCGAATCAAAAGTTCTTTTTGCTGAAGACGCGCCGAGAGTTTTGTGAAGCTCGTTGTGAACTCAGACATGGACGGAAGCCCTCAGAGAACACCCTGTCCTGCGTGGACCGAGTGCTGGGCAGTAAAACGGATCCGCGCGCTGGTTCCGTTGGGTTTTAAGGGTGAAATTAAAGAGCTGTCCAAGCTGGCCGCACCAGTGGTAAGCCCTCTGCGTTTCAATGAGAAGCCACCCCTTTTTTAAACACATCATTTTATAGCCCGGTATAAGTTATTTTTACATAACCTGTGTAATACGCAACCCACGATTCTTACCGGACCCTACACGTCATTCGGGCATCCTCTATGGAGCTACTTTAGATGCAAAAGTATTCGTGCCTTGTTACTGAGAAGTTTAAGTTGCCGAGGAATTTTTTTTTAGGAGTTTCGTAATTGTAGATTTCCTGACCCTCCAGTCTCTCACAAATACAAAACAGCAGTTACAAGTGTTTGTGTTTTCTGCAGAAAACACAAATTATATAGTTTGAGTAACAACAACAACAAAAACTTGCACTTTTCCCCGAGTGGTGCAACATCAATCTGCATTCTTGTGTGAGGAAAAAAAAATAAATTGCCCATATTTCTTTATCACTCACAGACACAAAACTACAGTTCTACCTGAGATTCTTTAGAACGAGTCACAGATTCTGTTCTACATGTAAAAGTATTGCTCTAATATTTTTTGCTCCATTAAATTTGCAAAAAAAACCTATCTAATAATCTTTCTGTATTAAAATCTTCATACAGATATTTATTTTGTAATTTATTTTCTTGACCCAGACACAAGTCATTGAATGCAACTACGCAAAACTGCTTATGCGAGTCACTAATTCTGCACAAATACTTTTGCACTAAACATACCTCTGTATGTCTGTTCAATGTGAAAGGTTAAGCAATGTTCATGGATACAATTGAATTCTAAGTATGAACTTATAAATATGTTTGAGTTGTCTCAGATTTCCGTGTATGTTGACTTTCAGATGTTGGCTCAGTTCATGGGCTATGGCGTGAGTTTTGTCAGTACAGTTTTTTGCGGCCATCTTGGGAAGACAGAGCTGGCAGGAGTGTCTTTGGCCATAGCTGTAAGTTAAAAAAAAACAACAACTTCCTATTGAATTAAATATCCTGAACCAATTAAACATTCCGATCCTTGTTTTTGTTGTTGTTGTTCCTTCCCCAGGTGATTAATGTCACAGGTGTATCCATTGGTTTTGGGTTGGCATCAGCATGTGATACGCTGATATCACAGGTATGAGCATCAACCACTAATAACTAGATGTATAGGCCACACTTGTCTATAAGCAGTAGGTATCCACAAGGGAACAAGAGATATATTTTAACATTTAATGAAATATGAATCGATAACACAAATATGTATGATAAGTAGAGATGCACTGAGCCACTTTTTTGACTTCCGATACCGATATCTGATGTTTAGTATCAGACGATACTGGACCTAATCAGTGCTGAACTTACTTCGAATGTCTGTGTGTGTTTTTTTTTTTTTTTTAAATACAGACATAAATGTTAACAAATTACAAATTTATTTGCCAACTTTATATATTGTTAGACCTATGGGAGCGGAAACCTCTTGAGAGTTGGAGTCATTCTGCAGCGGTCCATCCTCATTCTGTTACTGGCTTGTTTCCCCTGCTGGGCCATTCTCATCAACACAGAGCCCATTCTCTTGGCCGTCAGACAGGAACCAGAAGTCGCCAGGTGAGCTAACTGTCTCTTAGGAACTACTCCATCCTTTGCTTGTTGGACTTGCTTGTTTTGAATTTGACTGTGAAATCTCTCCACAGTTTAGCTCAAATGTATGTAAAGATCTTCATGCCCTCACTTCCAGTGAGTATATTCCACTTTTTGTCATTCCAGGCCTCCAATTGGCTTATTTAAGATATAAAGTCCTAAAACTTTGGTGCTGTCACAGTCCGGATGTTGGACAAAGAACAAAAAATCAATATAACACTAAAACTTTGGTCATTTCTTAATTCACACTATGAAATATTCTTTTAACTGCATTAAATTTTCCCCTATTTTATGTAAAATAGATACATATAGATGTAATAAAAAATCTTTTTTCTTTTTTTTTTTTTTATATTTCAGTTCAGAATAAAAATATGTATTATATGCTACGACCTACATAATGAGGAAGACCAGTCTCTAGCACTAACCTGACCTGAAAAGCCAATTCCAATTTTGGCCGATGCCATTTTTATTTTTTATTTTTTGTCTGAAATGTCGCCAGATATAGCAAGGAAATCTCTTCATTGGCAACAGTGGAGTGACTAACTGCAAATGTGCAGATATGACATAGAGGGCTGGTCTGTCCGTCAAACTTCTCTCATGGGAGAGCAGAAGAGAATAATGGTTCTTTGCTGGGGTAGATGAGATTGCTGAATGAGATTGGCTTCACATGCAAGTATTGACCAATCACCGATCTCCCAAAATTAAGGATGTTGGCGCCAATAAATCAGCTGGCTGATAAATCAGTGCAACCCTAATCTGTTGACTTGTTTTACGTCCATACGTTTGCGTACCTTTACCTTTTGCACTCCAGTGTGACCGGGAAATGGAGACTACATGGCCACATAAAGTTATTTATTAACCCTCTAATCATACATGAGATCTGTTTCATAAATGAACAAACACTGTAAAATCATAAAGCTGAAGTTGTGCTGAAAATAATGATGCCAAATAAGGCAAGGTAAATAGTTATTAAGGTGAAAATGTAAGGGTAAATTCAAACATTTAGAGCCCAGACCTTAGAGGGTTGAAGAGTATTTCCATATACTTTACACTATGGGACTTAAGCTGCCTGGTCATGTAAAGTTCATACACTTAATGTTCACATTTGTTCTCTCATTGCTGAAACCCACATTCATAAGCTTCTTTAATAGGGCAGTATTATGTACAATCAATGTTTTTGCTTTACATTATATTATAATGTTATTCCTTCATTAAAAAAACATACCTAGAGAAATCTTTTAATCTCCAATGGCAACAATTCAGCAGTGCAAAACGCTTGGGCGGACCTAGCCCCGCCTTGGAGGTACATCTTTCAAGCTTCCTCAAGCATCCTTCTCCCCTGACTCCTTTTCTCAGCTCCTTCAGATTAGCCAGCAGCAATTAGCAAACATCTGGTGAAACTGCACATCTGCTGAGTTCATTATAGGATCTACTTCTCAGTGTAAAGCTGGTTAAAAAAAAAAAAAAGTTGTTAATAGAGGAGACATGTTGTGATAACTTCCTGAAGACAGGGTAGGAGGTTTTAAAGATACAGAGGCCCAAATTGCAAGGCGTTAAATTAGTCAAAGAAGCTAACAGTTATTTGTATGAATAATACATAATATTGCCACTTTAAAACATTATGGGGGGGAAAAAGTGCCAAGGTGAAAATCAATCAGTCATCCATTACCATCATTCACATGTTATGGGAACTACAACATGAGACACTAAAACCTTCCAGACGACAGACAGAGCAACAACTGCACAGCAAGGACAAAAGATGATAACATGAGGGAAGACATTCTGACTCCTTTTGCATGTGCTGAACAACATCTCCAGGAATGTAAACCTGAGCATGTCGGCGCAGACAAATTCATTTGTCTTTCGAATGAAAGCCTTGCTTCACAAGCAGTAAAATAAAGACATAAGAATCAGATTAATAAACTCAGAAGACATAATTATCCTACAATGAAATTGTTCTGCCATAAAAGCAAAACCTGGTGTTGATGCTGATTAAAGAGATCTTTTAAAATTGTGCCAACAATTTCAGTAAATCTCTTCTTTCTGTCATATTACAGGCTACTTTCATGTTTTTCTTAGAATCACGATATCTCCAGAACCAGGTAGGTCCACTATTTTAACCCTATATAAGCTGGAATACAGTACATAGATCTGGTGCAGTTGAACAATATAGTGATTCGCTTCATGTTTCCTAAAAGATTAGATGTGCAAAATGTGATATTAATTTATTATGTCAGATCAACCATGAATTCACATAGCAAAGAGGTCAGAGCCTCCTAAATGAGTATGGCACATGAAATGAAAAGAAAAGAGAATAAAAAGTAATAATATCCATCAATTTTTATGTCTGCCGGATTGCAGATGGTGGGTGGAGTCTATACGATTGAATTTTGTTGATCAAATCATGTCCGTTCTTTGTTGGAGACGAGTCACTTCAAATGTGCTAAGTTGCTAATTTAAATCGTGGCACTTTTATTTCAGGGCATCATCTGGCCGCAGGTCATCACAGGGTTGATTGTCAATCTGCTCAACGCCCTCATTAACTATATTGTGCTCTTCGTATTGAAAATGGGAGTAGCGTGAGTATCTCAGACATTGTATTTTACACAAATGCATATATATATATATTTATTAAACATGGGCATATTTCTATGATCTTCAGGGGCTCCGCTGTTGCCAACACTTTGTCTGAGTTTGCCTTGGCCGGATTCCTTTATGCTTACATCATGTGGAAAGGTCTTCACAAGACAACCTGGGCAGGTGACCAAATAATCGTATTGTGATGTTGTCATTTAATGGTGAATGGCAGGACATAAATGACAGGAGGGAAAAAGCAGCAAATATACAATTTTACTTGAAAAGGGAATTCAAATCCGTGGGAAACCAAAATTACATATCACAAGAGGACCATAAGAAACTGACATAAGAGCTGACCAATAGAGATATTTAAGCTGGAGGATTAATTACAGAACAAGGAGCCATTGAAGTTCAACTGAAGATCTGGATGAATGGCTGACAGAAGCTGCAAATGTGTGCGCATCTTCGTCAATATTCTGTTAATGTAAAAAAACAAACAAAAAACCCCCACCTTTTTGCAAATAAGAAATAAAATTTAAATTATACGTGAACAAGGCTGTGAACATAAGTCAGTAAAACTCCTGGTGGTGAGGAATGTAAAGAGGCCAGCTAAACAGATACTTAAACAGCGAGTGCTCATCATCTGACACCCATCAGCGTTTTCCGTCTTATTCAGGCATTGGAGTGACAAACCACTTATCTTATACTTGGGAGCGCCTACATGTACAGTGTTTTGGGTTATTGTAGTTTACCAATTTACAGAAGAGCTATGGACACAATACGTTTGAATGACACACAACTTTTCATGAACCGTATGATGTTAACAGAGCTCTGGTGGATTCAGCTGAACATTGTCCAAAAAACCTAAACTTTATCCTCCGAGTTCTTCCTATCGTCTTTGCCATCATATTCACCAGTTGTGACATCCGGCTGTTGATCACCATCACATGATGGTGACATCACATCACATGACACGTGCGATGCAAAAAAAGTGTTTCCATTGCAGTTCTTCAGGACACATCTAGTTGTGGGTTCAGTTGTGTCTTCCTCCGGTCAGATGTTGCCTACTGAAATGCGTATCAGTGTGTGAATGTGGCTCGGTCCAAAGTGCTTAGAGTGAATACTGTTAAGAATTAAAAAGAGGAAGAACTTGATTTAGCTCTTTAATTAATTCTTTGTCCCGAATTCCTGTGTCTGTGTAAGTGTGCAGAGAGAAAAGAGCAATCATACGACGTCAGACTTCAGATATTCAGAGTTTTATCCAGAGAAAATCAATCCAAGAAGAACTTTACAATAAGCATCTCACCTACAGCAAAAAGTCCAAGACATTACAAAACAGAGACAAAGAACTGAGTAAAAAAGACAAAAGAATAACAGAAGATGCATCCTCCGGGAAACTCTCACTCAGCACAAAGAGATTCCAACTTCTGCTGTGAAACAAACCATTTTTTATAGACTGCATATTCTCCTCATTTAAATATATGCATTAGGAGGTGTGTTCTTTTCCTTTGTTAATTTTATTACCTCCTGCTAAAGAGCCCCAAAAGCAGATATACGGCAAACCCTTCTCGTACCAGCCGCTGTCCAGTTTGATATATGATTGCAGCTGCAGCGCTATCTGTGCCTCAAAATGTTTCCACAAGAAAGTAGTTTGTATTTTTAACCAAGCTTGCACACAATGTAATGCTAAATAATGACTATAAGTTTGGATCTAATAAGTAACTAATTAAAACATGCTTAAAGAAATATAGTTAATTCTAATATAGATAAAATTATTTATAAAAAGTTTTAAGATCCTAGTGAACTTTTGAACCATGCTAAGGAATTTGTTAATTGCCTGGCAGACAGGCTCCCTATGTAAAGAGATTCTAGGCCTGTCTTTTCTGTAGAATCCTCCCTAAGAATTTATATAAGTTCAGAGATTCAGCAGTTGTTTTAGTTTGGATCTTTATCTAAATTTATGTGAATGTAGAGTGTACTTTAACTTTCTATGGTATATTTCATATGTATCAAAACTATCCTGTGCAGTATTGTGCTAATTTAAAATATTATTTCAACAATACATAGAATACATAACACCTAAGGGTCATGCCAATCTTATTTAATAAATGAGCCTAAATTTGTAACACAAATAGGTTTTATTCATATAATCTGTGTGAGCTGAAGAGTTTGAATAAGTTTTTGTATAGCACTAACCATGTATAATATGCATTTAACTTCTGCTGTCATATCTAGGCTGGTCCAAAGAATGCCTTGCTGACTGGAAATCTTACATCCAATTGGCTGTTCCTGGAATGGTCATGATGTGTGCAGAGTGGTGGACATATGAGATTGGAGGTTTTCTGGCAGGTAATGTCCTATTCCAAATTCCAAATGTGAAGATGTTTTACTTTCTAAAACGACTTTGAAATCTAATACCTGTATCGGTTTGAAAGGTCTGATAAGTGAGGTTGAGCTTGGAACGCAGTCAGTCGTATACCAGCTGGCAAATATTGCCTACATGGTGAGTTTTTTGAAGCTAGCAGTGAAGAAGAAAAGGTTTTCAAATCGGTAATGTTTTTATGTTTTGGTAGTTCCCGTTGGGTTTCAGCATTGCAGGCAACGTGAGAGTCGGAAACGCTTTGGGAGCCGGAGAAATGGAGCAGGCCAAGCTGTCTGCGAAAGCAACAATGTTCTGTGGAGGTCAGCAAGCACTTAAATCATATACGTATTTCTTTTTTACTTTTTGAGACACTTAAAAGTGATCTGACCATCTGTAGTAAAAAGATTATAAAATCTATTTATATGAACATTTTACTGCAAACACACAAAAAAAAATGCCAAGTATTTTTGGTTCTAGTGTAAATATCACAATGTGGTTGAAATACGGTTAAATTACGTTTTGGTCGCCTCCCCCAATTTAACATTTGCACTCGCATTTGGAAATGGGTGAAAGGAGATGTGTAATTATAAAACTGTAGATCTTTGAAAAGCATTAGTTGAGCCTCCAGCACAGCAAGGGGTTGTTAATGGTAAGCCAACAATGAAAATGAAACGCTCGTCTTTTCTAGTATCCACTGTATGGTACATACAGCGCTAAAACCAGCTTACCAAATGCACTGGCGCTCCGCTTGGGTTGCTGGGAGAAGGACTGGGCTTGGCTGGGGTTGCTCGGTAACAGTCCATTTAACTTAACAGTCGGGAGGTTTTGAGAAAGCTCATTTTCCAGACACAAAAGACCTTAACTTTCACCAAAAACCAACTTTTTTTTTGGTAGTTCTTGGACTGCTTTTAGAAGCAGTAGAAACCCAAATGGAAGATTAAAAAAAAGTATAAAAGCTCTGAATTCGGCATATGTCCCCCATTTAAATGCCTTGAGCAAAATTGTTTAATTCATTCATTCACATGAGTTTTTGAAAATCCCCTGACCACAAATGTATGTCACAGGATTTGAACAGAGGAGCTTGGAACCTTTGACATATGTGACATATGATTTAATAAAGTAAAAGTTCTTTTCCCACAATCTCTATGTACGTTCTTCAGCAGCAGCATAGTAAGTGTGTGATGTTAGCCCACTTAGCATGTTGCTCTTTACAACAGGATCGGTGTCTGTTTGCCTGGCAGTCCTCATCGGGAGTCTGAAGAATCATATCTCTTACATCTTTACATATGATGAGTAAGTACATGTTTAACATTAACCCAACTGGAGTCAGTCCTGTTTGTGAAAGGTGAAGTCACGCTCGAGTACTGAAGAGATGTCTTTATATGGCCTTTGAGCATTACAGAAGTCCTTATCTAATCATGAACCTGGCTGACATATTGTGCCACATAATAAGTTGGTCTAAAGGTTTGTGTCAATCAGGTGCTTGACACTGAAAAACAGCCACATTTATATATGAGATTAAGGAGAATAGCTTTTGTATCTTTAAAAATAACATCATAGTAGTATAGTTATCTTATAGAACTATATTTATTTTTGTTTCAGGCAGATTAGGGAAAGGGTGGCAGAAATTATATCATTTTATGCTCCATTCATCATCCTGGATGCCATGTCTGTAAGTATCTTTGTCATTTCCTACAAAAAATATTTAAAAGATCACAAAAGTATATTCAAAGTAAAGTAGGTCCAAAAAATGCACATACCCATGAAGCCTTTGTGATGACAACCGTATCACTGTAAATCACTAAAAAACATTAAAAGTCTGTAAACAGAAAATTGTATCGCTGCCCCTTTAAGAGACCAGCGTCACAGGTGCAGCGTCAGAGTGACGCTGCAGCTCACAGGCGGGAGAGAGAGAGCGCAGAGGAGGAATCGGAGTGGAGCGGTGATTAATTAACAGCGAAAGTTAATTTAATTAAGAAACATAATCTACCTGGTCGGGAACTGACAAGAATTTTATTGAGAATATTGGTTTTGGTGAGTTTTATGTTTATTTTTTTCGTACTTTCACCGTATTGTACTGTAAAAAATGTTGCCGTTACAATAGCCGTTAAGAAGAAATGTTCCGTTATAAACTGTCATTTGGTTAACATATTGAGTAAAGAAGAACGTATTTGTATAATTTGAAGATTTAAAAAGAGTTTTATTGTGTTTGCGACCTGTTATACAGGTCAGGTTTTTTTTTTTTTTTTTTTTGCTTGGTTAGAAGCTCTGCCTTGTGCAGGGCGCACATTCACGGATCGGATTCAGGATGGCGAGCCAGACCCAGAGCGTCAATTCACCTTCTCCATTACATTAAGGAGGGACTCTCCTGCGTGTGGTAATTCGCTGCCAGGGCGAACTGGATTGAACAGAACCGATAATTTATTGAATTATTATTTTTGTCTGGATTGAGTCACCTAAGACTTTTCATTGAACAGAAGAACTGAATACATATTCGAATATACTTTGATTTTTATATATTATATCTTTGAATGTGTTTTGAATAATTGTATTTCATTTTGGTGAAAAGTGATATATTCTTTATTTATTTTCTTCTTTTTTTAGTTTCATTTACCTTCTCATTGAGAATTTGTAGAGTTTTCTTTGTTTATGTGTTGCATCTTATTTTTGTGTTTTACATTTAGTAAATTATTAGTTTATTACACTTAAGCAGCGGTCTCTGGTGCTGTTATTCTTGCTCCCCACTCCTTAGAGCCTAGAACTGGTCCAGTGGCGCGGTTAGCAGTGTGATACCGGTGCTACATTAGGTTGTCTCTGTTGTTGAGTTTGGGAAACTGCTCAATCTTTTTTAACAGTGCATTTTCCACTACTTCAGGATTCCTCCAGTCTTTGCCACACAAGGTCCAGTGCTACAGTTGGACTAAAGATGTTGGCTGAGCGGATTCTTTTTGCCTGTTGTCCAGACTCAGCTCCCAGCCATTTGACCATTAAATCTAGCTCTTCTTGGGCTGTAAGGCTCAAATCTTTAATAGCATTTTGAAATGACGTTTTCCAAGACCAGTAATTCTCGGGTGGTCATCAAACTGCAGAAGTCCTGAACTTAACATTTCTCTCCTTGCGAGATACTTAGTAATCTCCTGTACACCTTGTGCCTCTGTTGATGATTGAGGAGTGTAGAATGGATGTAGTTTGGGGGAGTTCAGTCGCTCTCTGTGTTGTGCTACGTGCGCCACTTTAGACTTAGCTCTTTCTGCACTGTGTGAGCTGTTATCGTCCATTTCTTCTTTCATAGCTTTTTCACACTGTTCACGTGCAGCCTTATGGCAGGCAAGTGGATCTGTTGGCAACAAAAAGCCTTCAAAACTAATGTCTGAATGTTTTTGAACATACTCTGCCGTACGCTGTTTTGAGCTGGCAGGTGGTCCCACTAATGGATAGTTCTGTTCAATTTTTGAAAGAACCTCCTCCTCTTCGTAAACTGCAACTTCTACTTCTGCAGCTGCAACAGCCTTCTGAGAACTCAAAATATGCAAATTAGCCTCGAGTTCGGTTTTCTGCTTCATCATGGCTGCTTCTTTTTCTGAAAACGCCAACTGAGCACGCGCAGCCTCTGCTTTTGCTCGAGCTTTTAATGTTGCAGAACTTGTGGACGAACGTTTGGACGTACATAAGCGTGTAGACTTAGAACATGCGTCTGTATTGCTTGCGTTATTCTTGTTCTCCATGTCATCTGCTTTACCAGACCTCAGGCTCATGAGTGATGTGCTGAGTCTCTCCTTGTGGTTGCGGCCCGCTGCGCTGTTCTTTACTATGCTGTCCTCGCCCTGAGTTCTCAATTTCTTCAGCAGCTAGACAGCTAGACAACGACGCTCCAATAACCAAACTTCTTTCCTTTTTAGCGGTTTATTGAAGAGTGGCCTCTGACACTGCCATCACTTTAGCCATCGTAAACTGAAACATACAAAACTGCGTATTAGCAAACGAACTAGCTTTTTGTTACGAGCTAAAATAAAACATTTACACCAAAGTTACATAAAACAAAAAGGCAATTAACAGATACTTATGAACAAATCTTGTCCGACACACAACGTACAAGAATAGCAAACAGCGTAACTACGAACCGCTCGGTGCTGCGTTCCGCCATCTTGGATATTCTCTTTATGATTCAACGTCACTAAACAATATAACAAAATATCCACCAGGGGGTGCTCTAGTGCGGTTTTCACCTTACTGGTCAGGCTTTACTTACAAAAGAGCAGCACAAGGTGAGTAGTTAAAGTGAAGATATATTGCTTGCAAAATATTGTAAATATTTAATAAATGTCAATTTATTGCATGTAAATATTTATAATGTGACGTGAGCTCAGAGTGCGAAGCTACAATTAGCTTACCATAAGATTGTGTTCAAAAATATCAGTGGATAAATGGCTTAAGGCTGTTAATGCCACAGCAGGTATGGAAAACCCAACAAATGCAATAATTAAATCATATAGAAATCTATTGTTGAATAAATAAAATATTACTTATTTTTAAATATTTAGTCATTATTTCAGCTTGAGTCTTGCAGAACTGATATCGTTTCCATAGCGATGACCAGAGGCAATACCTTGCCCTTGAAGTCCAGTGAGGTCACTGATGAGGTCATCAATGACAAAGAAATTCTACAGTAGGAATCTCAGTGCTTCAGTCAGGATTCAGACAGCTTTCAGAGAAGATTTGCGAACAACGATGTCTTGTTTGAGCGCACTTGTGCCTTTCTTGATACCACTGGGTTGGGGCGTAGGATACGCCGTTTGCACCGCCATGAATAATTTATTTGATTATCGCCTTCCTGAGGAGGACGAAGGAGGTTGTCAGGACTTGCCGGATTCTAAGGACTCACAGGACTTTGAGGATTTTGAGAAGGAACAAACCAACCCGGCTGGGGAGGTTTGTTCCAAACCAACGGACATCTTAGGGACTGTAGAATTAGACCCGATCGTGACCCTACCAGAGAGTACCGCAAAAAACGGTACTGTCTCCAGACAAACTGACCCGGCTGGGCAGGATTGTCATGAACCGACGGCTCCGTGTGCTGTTTGCGAGACAGCAGACGGAGACCTGACGACACGAGACAGTACTGAGTCTGACGGTACTAACTTTGAGCAAACCGACCCGGCGGGGGAGGTTTGCTCAAAGTTGACGGAAGACCTTGTGTGCCAGAGACAAGCCGCAGAAGCATCTGCCCCGGCTGGGGAAGATGTATCTGCGGCCGACCTTGCAGCCCAGGTTTTTGCTGAATTCACAGCAGATGCCTTGGCTTCAGTGGTCCAGCTCTTAGTTCATCACCGAGGGTCTCTGAAAGGCACCGCTACCAGAGTCTTTGAGGTACCAAAGAGGTCTTTCAAAGGTAGGGTCATGATTTCTTTCGAAATTAACAGTTTACCGGACGAGGATCATAATTCATAAGAGAGGGTCGGGTTAGACATGATAGATTGAGGGAAGTGGATGATTTTTAAGGATATTGTTGGGTGTGTTGTGGAGGAATTGGGCCACACACACCAAATATTGGACCACATTCCTGTTGGGGGGTGGACAAGGATTGATTTCAGTGAGTTTGGTGCAGCGCGGTCAAAACATGAGTGATAGGTTTAAATTAATAACTTGCATTAAAACTAATCATTGTCCTTATGAACAGTTAGACTGTTTAGTTGTTCTAGAATGTGTGATGTTTCTGGAGGAGCAGGAAGCGTGACAAATTGTAAACATATGCCAGCCGTCAGAGAACTGACCTGGCAGGAGTACCTCAAAGGCTAGGTTAAAGTTTAAGACAAAAAGTCCATCTTTTTTGATAATTTTAACACCCCATGCCTTAAATCCCTAGAAGGACTTTGTTAAACTTTGACACGAGTAAAAGTTAAAATCAGGTAAAATTTGACATTGATCCAAAATGGCCGCCTCCCTGTGCATCTTAGGGGTACTGTCAACAGACTTTTTTAAATGGGGGTGAGGGATCTGCCCACGTATAGAGTTTCAGATTTCTACGACCTGCAGTTCTTCTAAACTCGCGATAGGTGGCACTGTAGAGCAGATTGGCCACGTCCTCTTGCGACTCCATCCTAACATTTTCCTGAGGGGGGGATTTTGGGTCAAGTTTGGTGAGGTTTTGCATGTGATAAAGTGGAAGGCATTGGTTGTTTTGACGTTGGTCGTGGCCGAGTTTCTGAGAGAGTGAGGTTACTTGTAAAGGATCAATACTTAATATTGTCAGTTTTCTTACAGTTTTTCTGTTTTCTCAGATTTGTTAGCGGTTGTCATTAGTTTAGAGTGTCCCAGTTTTGTTGTCTGTTTTCTTAATTAGCTAAAATGTTTCTGTTTTGCATTTAAGAATTTTTAGCTTGCTTTTTTAACAAAGCCAGCTTTCATCGCGTTGTGTAAAAATGCCCACAGGCCTTCATAGAAAAAAAATGTGTCCCTGTCAATTACAAAATTAATTATATTAAGGAAAGAGAGTCAATTTGTAATCCAGTTTTTCTCCAAGAGAGGTGGGTGAGATTATCAATTAGCATTGTTAGCTTAGCTACAGACTGCCTCCATTTCACCAGCGTCTAATTAATTAAGGAAAATCACCAAGATATTAATATATTAACTTGTCTCTTATACCTTTTACCACGTAACAACCGGTGTGTTAGT